ACAGAACCTCTGTGTTAACACATACCTTTTGTTTTTCATTTCATTATCTTCTTTAGGTTATTTACTGTTTTATGATGTTGATGAAAAGTTTGAGAGAACACAATCTGTGTATACTAAAAGCTGTAAGATTATAGTTCTGTTATAATTTATGAAAACTCAGTGTGGTTCAAAGAACATATGAAGGTTTATGGGTTTTTTTAATGGAAGAAGCAATGAAAAATCAACCAACACAGAAACAAAAAGAAAAGGAGGAAATAAATAAAGTTTCATTTCCTTGATCTCATGTTTTTATAAATAGAGAAAATTGTATTTTGGATACTCTTATTTTTTTGAATTCACAATTTTATGTATAATCTTTGCATACTTACAAGTTTGTGATCAAATGTTTAAATTAAATGTTTGGTAACTTATTTATGACTTATCATGAGATGAAAAAGTAAGAAGGTGGATTCTTTGTGTATTCTTGGTGGACTATCATGTGCCCTTGGTGGGTGATAATCAAAAAGTCCCAACTTCAAGTGGAAATTAATCTGATTCTGATCATCCCAAAAAAAATAAAGAGATAAAAATATGTATAAAAGCTTCAAATTTCAGCTTTACTAGTTTGTTTAAATAATTGTTGGGCATTGAATAATTAAATTAATTTACAAAACCAACAAGACCAAATCATAATGTTGTAGCAGCTTTTTGGAGGTTCTTGATATAACACCACCCACCATATCAAATTGAAGATCATGATTGATTATACGATCTATTTGACAATTATTTAAGACTTCTTTGGTTTCTATAAGTGTTCTCACTTTTTATGAATCCAGTCGCTTATCAAAACATTAGTGATGCGATAATGGTTATTTTAGCAAAAAATTCTTCATTTGTAATCCACTCCTTTTATGAAACATACCCTCTTGCTTGAATTTTCAAATCATTTTTTTTTTTTGTAAATTACAAAAGGGTCATTCCAAAGATAATATGATGCATATACATCATAATCCCATTAAGAAAATGGTTTCATTCTGTGTAAATATTAATTAGTGAATATGTGAAAGCTAATTAATGCTCTAACTATGATGCATGCCCATAATAATCATCATTCAAAAGAAGATGGTCCCATGAGGTTAACATGATTAATCCAGCACCTAATCCCTTTCTAAATTACTCATATATTCTGTGTAGTCATTTGATATTAATAGTAATCTCTATTGTATATTAAGGATGAGCTTAAGTAAAGATTAGTAAGAACTCAAATAAATCATAAGAATTTATAATACTTTGTGGGAGATGATATTTGGATGATCACAAAAATTATATTTCACAATTTTTAATATGTGAATACAGTAACCATTCGGTTTAGATTGATGAATATAACATGCAAAATATGAATCAAAAGATCATATGAGATCTGATGAGAGAAGACAACTCCTTAAAGGCTTCCATTGAAAGTGGATCATGAGGACTATGGTAATTGCATTAAAAGCATCAATTCACTTCACTTTCTCTTTACAAATTTTTGAATCTAGCTACTTATCTCTCTCTCTCCACAACTACAAGACTCATATGACTGTAAAAGCAAGAGAGAGAAGAGAAAACAGCCAATCTTAAAGAATGAAATAAAGAGGAAAAAAGCTAGTCAATTGTTTAACTCACACTCTCTCCATCACTCC